AAGTAGAGGACAGTAGTGCTAATGAAGAATATGAACCTGACCTTATTACAAATAAGCTAAAGTGCGAGTGCAATGATACAAAGGGTGAGTTTTACAGTGTGACTGAAAATAAAGAGGAGGACGCCTTGTTAACCACAGCCAAGGAAGGGTTTGCATGCCCTGAGAAAGAACCCCCTTCCTTAGACCCACTGGCTCAGAGTCAGGGCCTTTCCTGCACTTTAGGGTCTCCAAAACCTGAGGATGGGGAATATAAATTTGGTGCCAGGGTGAGAAAAAACTACCGGACACTAGTACTGGGAAAACGACCTGTCCTTCAGACACCTCCACTCAAACCAAATTTGAAATCAGCTAGAAGCCCTCGTCCTACAGGTAAAACTGAGACACATGAAGGAACACTGGATGACTTTACAGTTCTAAACAGACGAAAAAAGGTAGCCAGCAATGTAGCATCAGCAGTGAAAAGGCCATTTAATTTCATGGCAAATTTTCCTTGTCCACCATCGCTTATTATTGGGAAGGATGGGGATTTGTGGCCGGCCTATTCCTTAAACACCACTAAGGATTCCCAACCTCCTCACAAGGCCCATCCTATCTGGAAATGGCAGCTGGGCGGTTCTGCAATACCTCTTCCACCTAGTCACAAATTCAGGAAATTTAATTCATGAAAAATGTTTGGGAAGATATTTTCTGGAACCATATTACCTTCCTTTTGTTGTAAACTGCACAGGATGGTTTGTACAAGTCCATTAATGGTGTTACACCCCCTTTGGAGTCATGGTTTATCCCATTTTGAAGACAGAAATCGGATTACTTTTTCCATTGCGGGGTTTTTTTGTTGTTGGTTTTTTTTTTTTTTTTTTTTTTTTGAAGCAGGGTGGGGGCGGGGTGGGAGAAGGGTTCGTTTACACACCACAGGCTACTTCTGGCTAAAGACTCAAGTAAAACTCAGTTATGGTGGTAGAGCTGGAACACTTTACTGTTTCAATGGTAATAATGCACCAGTACCTCAATTCAACTGCTACAAATAAATGTCAAAAGGTTGAATAATAAATATTACAATGAGCCATTAAGTTTATGCACTAGATTTCAGACCTGAAAGTGTAACTGTTAATTCAGTGCAAGTTTGTTAGGTTTCCTGGTTACACAGTGAGGTAGCAAGAAGTCTCTGTGAGCCCAAAATGTAATTTCCTGGAGCTCTTGTTTGTGGGGTATCTTTTTCTTTTTACTCCCCTCATTCTCTCTCCAAGAGTAGTTGCACTTAACTTTTTTAATTTTTTTGAGTGGAAAGAGTGGGGTTTGAGTCCCTATGGAATGTTGATAGAAGCTGCCTCATATATAATAAGTAAAAGAAATATGGGATCTTATTTTCTTTTCTTTTTTTTTTTTTTTGGTAAAGGATGTGATTTTTACTTTTACAGACACTCCTTGCAATTGGAAAAGTCCTTTTTGTGTTCCCACCCAAACATTTTAAATAAGATGACTCTTACTATTGTCCTGCTTATCTTGTGGTCTGAACATGACTCTTTGAAGAACTTTCAAAACAATTAAAATATTTCGCTTAGCAGCAGGATATTTTATGGCCTAAGTCTCCATAGTAAATACAACCAAGAGAAAGAAAAAGAGGGGTCAGAGTTGTAATATCCCAATGAAAATAACAGTTATTTCAGGGCTTTTGGTACCAGAACTCAGGCACTTGGATTTTATTACCTTATACTTTTGATGCATCTCTCTAAACTTCTGTTTTCAGACCATCCTGTGTATAGAGCAGGAGAGTTTCTACTGCAAGTGACAATCAGAGGTGACTATATTTGCACATGAAATCAAAGTAGTTCAACATGCAAATGGCTAGGGTCTGGCCCTCGGTGAGGGCCACTCTGGTGTACTGTGTTGTTATGATGGAAGCAGTAAATCAAAATTATGGAAATTTGCACTGTTGAAAAGCATGCTTTAGCTTTATTTTCAATTAAAAACACTGTTTAAAATTCCTGGTTCCATACATTTCTACTTATTCCAGACTGAAGAACAACGGTTAATAGGAATGAATGGTTTTGTTGACATTTTCACTTGTAATGTTTTTACCTGAAAGAAATGCATTTATTGGGTGCAGTGTTTTGTTGGAATACTTTGTGATGAGGCCAGACAGTCTCTGTGCATAACACTGGCAAATTTCTTCCTAAATAGCAAGAAAACTTCACAGACTTGTGGCCCATCAAGCACTAAAAGTTTCAGGTTTCAGAAAGTGGAGCAGTGATCCCTTGTTATTTTAATGAAAGTCGAATTTAATAATTTTTGATCCACCTCCCTTGGTCTGACAAATTATGTATCTTAACTCCTTGGTATCTTGAAACTACAAAGTTGCATCTATAGATCATAAATCACAAAGCAAAACAAAATGCCAATGAAATGTTTACTGTGTGAATTTAAGTCACTATTTCTCATGGAAATTCAGTCTATTTTTTTCCCCCTTAACCTTTTAATTCCTACTCCCTTTGAAATTTTCCTTTTGTCTATAAATGTTTCAGATAGCTCTGGATGGTCTCAGCCCTAATTGCTGTATATGCGCTGTGGTTTTCCTCTTGTAAAGGACAGGGGCTGAGAATACCTGCATCCGAATACATTTGGATGGAGTAAACAGATGCTTTGAACTGCCTCCTTCCTTTCATTCCTGAATGTTGCCAGATGTAGCTTCACTGGGTTGCTTTTTATTGGAATGGGAGATATGGACAAAGCAAAGATTGGGGATGTTCCCCTTGAATCCATGTTTGTATACAGTTCCAAAGATCAGTCCATCTTACAGTTAAATCCCCAGAAAGCTGAGCAAAAGAAGCAAAATTGGCTTCTTCCTCTGAGTTCTTGCCTCTTTGGAAGGCAGTCCAGAATTAGCAGGACAGTGAGTTGTTCTGCAAAATCAATCTGTGAAAAGGTGTGACATACACACTGGAACTCTGTAATTTCTACTCTCTAATTACTGCTAAGTCAAGAAAGTTCCAAGTACGGTGCCTACTATGTTGAGACCAGTACTTTCCTCTTTGGCTATGGACTCATTGTTCCTACATTATAAATGGAGAAGATATTTGAAGTCTACAGATCTTGGGTGTGGGAGGACTGTAAGATGGAATAAGCACAAATTAAAACAAATATACCCTATGGAATTGGTGACATAAAATATCAGCCTACAGCTTTGACACTTGGTCTCCAGCCCTCAGAGAATCAATGTAGTTCCAGTTTATAAGAGCTAGAGGATGAGCAGTATGGAGGCCGACACATTCCAGAGAGATACCATACAAAAGGAAAGAAATTAAATAACACAAATTTTGCCCCATAGTCCTACCATAAGCCAGCCAACCACAGGAAAACCTGAGTTGGGGTTTAGGTCAGGAGAGTGTACCAATAGTGTGCAGGAACTTGCAAATACAAGGTATCCTTTCAATTCCTGGTAGCCCCTTAGCTGTTTTCCCATCCTGCTATGGGAATTATTCTCAATACAGTTTATTTGGGTTGTTTTATGATTAATGACAATATCTAAATTTTTCTAAACTGCTATAAATGTCCCATTTGTTCAAAAGTTAAGCCTTATTGAGAGAAAAACAAAAGTTACCTCCATTGATAGATTACATTTTTACATTTAAATGTTTTCAGGGAATAGAATTTTAAGAGGGGGAAGGGGGCTATGTGGCCACAGGGTCAGTGATTTCTGTGTCTGAATGAGCTCAGGCAGTATTCACAGGCAAGAGGAAAATACAGGAAAAGCCTCTCTGACTTTTTAGGGAAACTTATTTTTTGGTGTTACACAAAAGTAATTTCCTGAGAAGACTGTGGAGTGAATATTTAATTATTTTTTTAAAGAGATGTGTGTGCTGTCTTCCATAGTCAGGTTATCTGCCTTTGTAGAAAACGCAGCTTGCTTCCCCCCCCCCAACTATATACTTTTTAGAGTGGGTGTTCCTTTCTACTAGCTTACTTGATTACAGTGGAGTAATCTCAATAATGGTTGTTTATTTGAAAATCAACAACAAGGAGCCACCACTAAGCAGCAATAACACAAACTAGATGGGCTGGTGTGTGGATTTTTATCTTATTCCTGTCTGGGTGACTTCCAATGGTCTAGAAATTCCTCAGAGTTCTAGGCAAACAAGAATTGGATTGAGAATTTATTTTCTGCTGATATGAGAATGATAGTTTTGTTTGCATGCAGGAAGAGGTGTAGAAGAAACCAATTCCTCAAAAGCATTTTTTTTCCTTCAAAGAAAACAAAAAAATCTTCCTGGTTAAAAAAAAAATTTTTTTTAAATAAAGCGTTAGTGTCTACAAAAGAAAGAAAATGTGAGTTTTGCTTCACCTTGAAAATAACTTCTTGCTGAAAAAGATGTGAAAAGAGGGATTTCCCAGAGCTAAACTAGGAAAAAGAAAAAAACCATTTAAAGGCTGCATCAACTAACCTCGGGAAATCGGCAAGGAGGAACAGCCATCCACCTTAGCGAGTCCTCGGGACACCCTAGCTCTCGCAGCGTTTTCCCCTGCCCTGTGAGGAAGAACTATTTTTATGCTAGCTTTGGTTTTGGTTTGCTCCCTAGGCCAAAGGGCGTTTTGCAAACTAGCCTGGGGGTGGGGACGCGGGGCAGATCGAGGAGGTGGGGGAGGGCTGCATTTTACCTGTTTGGCAGGCCCTCTTTTACTTAAGAAAAAGGGGGGCCCAGCTATCATTCTTCGCCCATGCCCTAGGCCCCCGCTCCTCTCTCGCTCCTTTTCAAACTGTGGCGGCCTCACAAGCTCCTACTTTAAAAGGCCCGAGATGTTTTGCATGAAGCCCTCACAATAGGGGTTGAGGGAATTGACAGTTTCAAAAACAAGGCGTTCAGTCCTTTCCAGCTGCCGTGCCCGCTCTCTCGCACCAACTCCTCGTCCCTCGCTGCTGGTGGCGTCCTCGGGGGCGCGCGGCCTCCCCCCACCCCGCCGGCCCGCGCTCTGGCCGCCCCACCCCGCCCCCGGGCTGTGTTTGTAAACAGGGGTCAGTGGCCGGGGGCTGCCGGCGCGGGCTTTGGCCTAGCGGCCTGGGCTGGAAGGCCCGGAAGAGCAGGCCGGCCCAGGGCTGCGGGCGAAGGGCAGGCTGCATGGCCGCGCGAGTCTCGGGGTCTGTTTCCCCTCGCTCGCCCTATTTCGCCGACCTTGGGGTGGGGAGGGGGCTTCCGGGACCCAGGGCAGCCCTGGGCTCCGACCGGGGCCACCACCAGCCCCAGAAGGATGCCGAAGTGCCGCCATCTTGCATGGTGGCAAACAAATTTCTTTTGTGACTTTTTTCTTTTCCCACCCAGATCTCGCTGCCCTCCGCACGTGTGACGATTGAGCTGCCACGGGGCGGAAGAGCCTGCGCCCCAGCTCGCCGGGCCTGCAGTCCGAGCCGAGGGCGCAGAGGGCGGCGGGCGCGCGGCCAGCCTGGCCCCCTTCCCGGGGCCGGCCCTGGGGGCCCGCAGCGCCCACCCTGGCCTGGCACTCCTTTCGTGTGTCCCGAAGTCGTCGCCCGTCCCGCGCACGCCGCCTGGCTTTCTCACCTTCTCGCCCAGGCCTCACGTCTCCCCGGGCAAATGGGGCCCAGCTCCCTGCATGGGGCAGGGAGGCCGGGCCCAGGCGTCCAGAGCGCTCGTGGGGGGCGCGAGTGGTCGAGGGACCGGGCCCCCCACTGGGCCCAGGACCAGGGCCCGAGCGTGGGGAGGGCGCGACTCCTAGGGTAGGCGGGCGTGGTGGGGCACGGCTGGCTGCTGGCCGGCCGGCGCCGTGGTTCCCGTCCCGTGGAACTTCTCGGTGCGTCTGCGAGTGGAATGGTGACCTGGACACGGGAAGCGTGAGACAGTGACCTGGAAGGCCACCCTGGGTGGAGGAGGCTGGAGCGCAGCCACCCAGGCAAAGCTGCTTCTGGGGACGAGGGGACCCAGAGGTGCACCACAGACAGGTCGCAGGGAAGTGCAACAAGCTTGTTTTCCCGGGTGTTTAAAATGCAGCCCCAGTTGTAAAGTGTGTGAAATTACGCACTGGTCTCTTAAAGAGTGCCTAATTTATAGTAAATAGCGAGGTCTTTGTAAATGGCTTTATTATGTTGTTTCTTGTTAATTGTTGAGAAAATCCCCATTGTTGAGTGTGAAAGGCTTTATGAGCTAACCTGGTCCTGGCGCAATCAGAGGGCCAGTAAAGGGCTGCTCGGCCTCGCGCGGTAGCGGGCGCCGGCCGAGGGCGCCGCAGGGACCTCGGGAGAGGCCGCCCCGGCCCGGGGACAGAGAGGCACGGCTCTCTCCTGGATTTGCTGAACCGTCAAGCGTGTTCTGAACTCGCGGGCCTCCTGGAGCAGCTCCCTGCAAAGGGGACCCGGGCTGGCCACGGCGACCCGTCCTGGCGGGGAGGCGGAGCAGGCCGGTCCCGCTCCGGTCACAACCCGCGGCGGGGGGGGGGGGGGGGCGCTCCCCGGGCCGCGCTGCGCTGGGGTCGGATCTTGGGCTTTGTCTCCAGGGCTGGATCCCCGTGGAGCGTGGGCTTAGGCCCTGTCCCTGACGCTTGCAAACACCCCCAAAACTGTCCTGCCGGGCCTGGGAGCTGGAGGGGCTGCAGGCCGAACGAACAAGCCTCCCTCCCGGGGAGGGAGAGAGCTCCAGGCCCCTGCCTGGGCCTCCTTGTCTTTTGTTTAAAGCGCTCTCTTCTTTCCTCCCTCTCTCCCTCTCTCTGTCACGCGGGGACACACACACACTCTGTCTCTCCATTAGAAACCTGAAAGGGACTCGGAAGACAAGAGGAATAAGAGGAAGGGGTTTGGGTTTTGTTTGTTGAACAAGGGAAAGAATTTCTTCTTTAGCCCAAGATAAAATATTCTTATCTCCTCTAGCTCCCTTTCCAGCCAGTTGGGACCCGGGATGGGAATGGGCAGAACCAGGCAGGCCCGGGGGTCCTGGCCTGAACTTTGAGGCAAAGAGCCTGCTGGGTCCTGCAGGCCAGAGGGGCGGTGGAAACTGCTTCCTGGGGTCGGCCTTGCCCGGGACTTAGGACCCTGTGGGTCAGGGGAAAAGCAGCTACCACCTCTCCCCAGCCTCGGAGCTCTGGCCTTGGAAGAAAAAAATTTTACACTGGTGGAAGAAAGCCTGGGTTAGGTGGATTGTGTGTTAGGGTTTGGACATTAGCTAAAGCAAATCATAAGGAAATGTTAATTCCAATCAGAAAAACCTGTATTCAGCTAGCTCCCTTCCCTCCTAAGATGGCCCTCTGCTTGCGCACTCTCGCTCTCACCAAATTAGCTATTACGTGAAATCCCCCCGGGTGTAAAGCACTTGTTTCACGGATTCGCGTACAACCCATATTAACTATGCACTTTCTCCTATTCCTCTTGTGACTGTCCCTGCCTCTTCCTTCTTTGCGGAGAGTATGATGCATTTTATTTTAGCCCAATCGATGCGTGCAAATACTAGGATAACACAACCCACACATCTGCAGTGGAGGCTATTTTCAAAATTGAGTTTAGGGATCAATACTAAGTCGAAATGCTCCAAATTGCACGAATTCGCCAAATTCAAGCCTTGGGCTCCCAAGCCCCTTTTGTGACTGATTAACCCACTCACTGGTTATGGCTGTGCTTCTGTCCTTCCTGCCTCTGCCTCTCCAAACAGGATGTTTTCATCCTGTGTATTTGGCTTTCCCTGACGATCACCCTGGTTTGCTTGGAAAAACACGACCCCAAAACGTGTGGTGTTAAACCCTTGTCAATGGCTTCCGTGCAGTCTCTTCACACTTCCATCGCTGACTGCCAGTCCCCTGTCTTTATTTTCCTAGGACCTCACAGTGGCACCTAGAAGTGCCGGAGTGGGTGCTCAGAAAACGTTTGCCCAATTGAATAAATATTTTACTGGCTGGGGGACAGCCCCACTGCATGGCTCGCAGGGCTTCTCCCAGAGCTGAGCTGCTTGGGTTGCAGCACAAGGAGCTTTCTATTCTTTTGCAGCCAGGGCCTTGACTGCAGGTCATGGTGCCTAGCTGGGGGGAAGGGCAGCGGTTGTCCCCTTGCTGCAGGGGACATTTAAGGCCCAGAGAGATGGGTGGGTAGGGGTGGATTCCGACAGAGACCAGGAGAACCTGCTGCCAGTAGATGCGTGCATGAATGTACGTCTGAGAGGAATACAGGAGAAACAACTCAAGAAACTAGAATTCTAGGGTATCCCCACTCCACAGCTCCTGCTGCCTGGGTCTTCCTTCAAGTTAGATGGCTGGAACAAGAGAGGAAATGGAGACAGAGGGGCAGGCTCTCCAAGAAGGTCCACTCACTCATCTGAGCAGTACCATCACTATTTGTGTTTGATCCTTTTGGGAGGGAAAAAGCTTAGCAGGCGATGGAGTTGGACCCTAAAATGCTGCCAGTCTAGCAAAGAGCAACTGCTCACAGGTCTGGAAAAGCCTCTCCAGCCCGGATGCACGGAACAGAAATGAAGGGAGGTAACAGAAAGGAAAGCATTTGAATGGCTGACTGCCCTCTTCCCCAAGCCACGAAAAAGAAAGAGAAATGAAAGAAAACAACTACAAACAAATAGGCTCAGAATTCTCCTGGAGACTGTTATTGGAGAAGCACACGTAGGGTAGCAGAAGGCTGGGGAGTCATTCCCATTGTTAGCCCCCGCCTGCTCCAAGATCAGTTTAAGTCAGCTCCAGGAAAAACACAATACTCGTGATAAGCGATGAGCAGCAAAAAGGAAAAACAGCAAGCAAAAGACACTGGATGAGCTTCCTCAGTAGCCCACCCCTTTCCTGTGAAAGTTGCTGTGACAAGCACATACAAGGGATCTAAAGGCAGCAGCTTGGTCAGTGGGCAGGCATCTAGATCCTTGGACCTTCCAGGAATAAAAGCACGTTTCAGCTTTCATTCCTCTCTGTCTCTTTTTTTTTTCTTTCCCTCCCTTCACATGGATACCCTGTCAGCGGTGCAAAAGTCAAAGATTAGTTTTCTTCCTGTAGTATATCGGGGGCCAAATATGCAGACCAGTAGATGGTTAGGCTCTTGGGTACCTCCAGGCCCTATTCATTCAGATGAAAACTTGCCTGATACAGTAGGAATTGCCAGGACGAGCTGGTTTATTTACTTTTCTCCTCTTTCCCTTTATCTTCCTTTCCCCCCCTCTCTTTTGTCACTCTATTTGGCTTGGCTTGGCCTGCCTCTCCTTCCCCACCCCCCTCCATAACCCTGGCACCCAGGTGAAGGCTATAAGAGGAAAGACCTGGATTCAGTAATCCCTTCTCCAGAGGTGGGAGAGGGGAAGACCTGGCCTTCAACCAATGCCTAGGGGCAACCTGGGAGCCCGTGGTGATCCTGGGCTTCCTAGCTGGGGTGAGAGGCCAGGGCTTCCCAGCCCCTTGCCCTGTGTATACTGAGCTATTCTGGTCAGACTATAAAAAACAGTGTGTATCTCCAGACCAGGCGGGGCCACTCCACAAACACATGGCTGGGGCTTGAACGAGGAGTGCATGGCCAGACGCAAATGCGCAGAGTTGCTTTTAATTTTGTCCCGTGTTACACATCATGTAGCAAATTGGTGTTCAGAAAGCCAATTTTTATTTTTTCTGTTAATAATAGAGGCTTCTTAAACATATATGTTGGAGAATTCAGAGTGGGTATGACTACCACCAATCATTTTGAAAGGAGGGCTGGTTCTTTTCTTTCCTAAATAAGGAAGGTTTGTAAGTTGAAGAGTTTGATTAACATTTGAATTATCCGTTGTTTTGCTGCTCATATCATTTTAAGAAAATAATAAAAACATTTCATCTTTGTATTGTTTTCATCCTTTTATATCTTTATACACTATAAATCCAGTAAATTAGGAAATTAGTTATCCACTCCTGCCACCTTCTTTAGAAAAACCTCTGGGAAAAAAAAAAAAGAAAGATAAACTACCTCTGTACCATCTACTTTCCCTAAAATACCAACATTTCATATTATCTTATACATGTTGCTCTGTATTTGTGATTTCAGATGACAAATAGGAAGACGAGTTATTTCATAGAACTTCAATGGGAAGGAAATATTACTTATTTTGAAGACTGGGGTGACCAGGGTTTCTGAAATCTTATCCTTTGTATCAATCTCTAGGTGGTTTATCTGAATAGGATCTGATCCTACACAGGAGGGCTACACATAATATCCTGACACAACAGAAGGCTGAATTAGAAGCATCTTGATTGTGAATTTCCTATCTCTTCCTGTTTTGAACCAATACTTCAGTGTATACCCCAAGACTGCTTTTAAATGTGCTCTCCTTTGAGGGAAAAAAAAAATGCAAAAAAAAAAAATCATGATTAAGGAAAAGAAAAGCAGAAAATCTTTTCTAAACACTGTCAGGACCATTGATCTCAGTTACCTGCTATAATGTGAATGGGATCATTATGGCTGTTCCATTGACACGGTTTCTTCATTCAGGATCCTGGCCAAAGAAGGAATAGCATGTCGATGTGTAAAATTTCAGCCAAAGCTAAGCCATTACAATGGAAATGGCGATGAGGTACAAGTCTCATTGAAGCCAATGAAACTGAGTGTAATATCCACACTGCATTCTCATCTGCTTGCTCCAGGATTTAGTATGCAGCTCTGCATCGAAATGAGATTATGCATATAAAATGCCAATATAGAATACACTGCCCAATTTTTATTAGAAAAGCAACTTAAAGCCCATGTACATGGGTTTTACTTAAATATGAACTTCATATGCAGAATAAACCACAGCACTATCAGAACCCTAAGTCTCCAAAATGTCCTCATTCTGCTTTTTCAGGGTTCTTTCTGCCTGATCTTCCCACCCCCCTCCTATCCAAATACAATTCTTTTAAGGGCACTCTTCAAATCATCTAAGGACTCCCAAAGGGTATTCCAGGAGCCTCTTAAAGTGTCTTTCTAAATTAAAAGGCTCCAAACAATGTAAGTGCATTTTTGAACCAAAATATATGAGAAAGTATTCAAACTTGCAAACCTACAGGTGTGTAAAAAAAGAAGAAAAGGACCAAAGAGAAAATGTCTCAGCACTGGATTACAAGGTTATGGGACAGGTCACTAGGAAAGGGAAATAAAACTGAATGTTAGGGTGGGCTTGTAAATTATGCACCTTTCAGGGGAAGAGGTTTAAGGTCTCTTCACTCAGGGGGTTTTTTTCCCATCCATTTTGCTATTAATTCTTAACTCTTGGTAGGCAGTTCTTTAATTAGGTTGTTTGTGGCAGGTTAATTTTCTCCAATCTACTGAGCTCCTCATTTTCCCTTTTAAGTGCACTGCTGCCTACAGCTTTCAGAATTTTCCATACCAGAAGAAAACAGAATAAACGTGAAGTTGCCTGGCTGGGCTGGGAATTAAAGGCGTTGGGTGGACAGATAAATAGAGGGCCCAGACAGATGGGACTGGGAGGGTAGAAGCCAGGCTGAGTTGAGGGCAAGAGGGAGAGAATTTGGTCTTAGGAGAGCAATGACCCTAGGAGTGTAATATATTAAATATTGCGGCAATCGATTTCAATACCCCAAGTGGACACGGAAATAAAAATTCACCAACAAGCTGAAGTGATTAGGAATGCTTTGTTGCGAAGGGGGAAAAAATGTGATTTTCTTCAAATCCTTTTTGTTCAGGTTAGAAGAGGCCCAGGCAATCCGAGTGTAAGCCCTGGACTCCCAGTTTGGGATATAACCCTAAAGGTTAGTCATATCTCAATGGTACTTCTTCGTAGAGGAAAGATGAGCTTTGTACCAAGGAGGATTAGATATCAACCACAATTACGGGCTGGTGACTCTAGGCGCTTTGCTCCCAAATCAGAGAAGAGGGCATTTTGGAGAGGCTGAATCTTTCCTGTGTGTTCGTCTTTGTTTCAGTTCTGGGACAAAGCAGTGGCTTTTGCACAATTCTTCTTTCATGAAAATCCACAGGGAAAACACACAATATGGTTTATAGGAGACCGACTCACAATAGTGGGGTGTAAAAACAGCCTCTGGTGGTATGTAGGAGAGAAATATTTTTGAAGTGTCATTCTGGGGACAAAAGTATGACACTGTCACACATATGGGCACAAACACTGGCTACTGCACATGAGTGTGTCAGTGATTTCAGAATTGGGTGGTATTTTTCTGTTCTTCCTTCCCCTTACCAAATCCAGCCCTTAGACGTTCAGGCTATGAACTGTGTTCTTGCAGTCCAGGAATCTGTTTAGGGATTTGGGGTAGGCACTGTGGAGGCTGGTTGGAGCGGGGGGGATTGTTTTCAGTCACAGCCTAATGGGCAAAGCCTGGGCTCTTCACACTGGGGACACCAAGTCTGCTGCTAGGCACACACTGCTGGATGCCTGCATGTAGAAGCAGCAGCTACCGCAGCTGCCTCCTCCTTCCGTGTGGCCGCTACAAATCTGGGAAAAAAATGCAGCATCATACAAAGGATTTCTTTAATGAGGAAGACTTCCTCAGACTTGCTGTGGGCTGTGGCTGCGGCCTAGGCTTCTCAAGCTCCTGAGAGAGAGAGAGAGAGAGAGAGAGAGAGATCTTTTCTTACCCATTATATCCTCCTTTCTGTGCTAGCCAGGGTTGGAAAAGTCACCCCCTACACACACACACACACACACACACACACACACACACACCCCATTGCCATAAACCCAGAGCTTGATTTCTCTTTGACTCTGGCAGCTGAGTGAGGATACACTCAGAAGGTTGGAGACAGGCTGTATTATAGACTTGGGCAAAAACAAACAGCTCCTCTTTCTCTCTTCTCTATATATACCTTCTCCCTTCTCTGCCCCTGCCAGAGTGCTATTCTCTATCCATCACATTCAGGACTGGGGTTCCATGCTCCCAAGGACGGCAATATTTCTGCATGAGGACCTCCTTCCCAGGGGATGGGCCAGGAAAGGGAAGGAACCCTGTCCCCGCCATCTCTTTTCAGTCTAATTCAAGCTGACCGTGGCTGAGATTGGTTGTGGGCAGAGCACTTAGATGCCTGCAGCTTGAGTCTCCCAGGCTTTCTGGGAGTGATGAGTGGCTACAGGGAGGCTATTATGCCCCATAGAGCTGTTTATCTCCCTTAAGCTACCTACTGGGCTCCTTCCTCTCTTCAGGTTGGGTCTGGTCAGGTGTGGGAGTGAGATATCACTCAGAAAAGTTATCTCAAGGGTTGAAGATGGAGCTCAGTGGTAGAGCACTTGCCTAGCATGCATGAGGCCCTGGGTTCAATCCCCAACCCAGCATTGCCCCCAAATAGAGAAGCTACCTTAAGAAGCTAGTTATTGAGACTAGTTGTTATCCATCTTCTTGAGAAAGACTGATTTAGGGGAATTTGAGTAAGAAATCATTCAGTTTTGCCGAGTCCCTTTGGCCGTCTTTTATTCTGCATCTCCCTCCTCTTTTCTTCCTCCTCCTGCTCTTTTTTCCTTCTTTCCTCCTTATTTTCAATCATGTCAGAAGAACATGCAGGTCATTTGTTTTTTTGAGATGGGATCTCGATATGTAGTTTAGGCTGGTCTTAAACTCTATATAACCCGGGCTGGCCTCAAACTCGTGGCGATTCTCCTGCCTCAGCCTCCCCGGTGTTGAGATTACAGATGTGTGCCACCACTCCTGGCTCAGAACATGCAGGCTGAAAGCACCAATAGCTTTACACAGTGGGGCCTGCTGAAGGCCAGAAACAAGGCCTGACTGCCCAGACAGGTGAAGGGGCACGGAGATTCCTGTGCTATGTGACTGAAGGGTCATTTACAGAGAAGGAATTCCCTGGAGGGGAGACCTGTGGGTGGGGCCTGTCCTTCCCAGGCCACCCAGGTCACCGAGGAAAATAGATTCTAAACTCTGGGACCCAGGGCCTGCCCCCATATGTATGGGGTACCTGTCGCTTGAAGCTGTTGGAGGAGTCCTTGGGTGCCCGGCCGGCCCGTTGTAAGTCTTGGGGTGAGGCCGGGCTCACCTGTCATCGCGCTCACTGCCTGAGGCCCCCGACAAACCTGCACAATATGGGTCTCCACCAAGGGCCTTCAGGTTCACTGATCTGTGTGCAGCACTTTGGAAAACTGCAAATAATCGAGAAAACTTGGCCATTCTTGTGACGAGATACAAGTTTGCACTTAACATGGAAGCATGAGAAAAGGGGGGTGGGTACTTCTGGCCCAAAGCCCCACTGTAATCTCCAGAACAATTTCATTTCCTCCGAGGCACCCTGGCCCAGGCCTCAGAAAGGTCAGGGCGACGAGCAGAGCAGTGGGGGCGGGGAAGGCGCGCGGCCAGGCCCCGCTGGGTCGCAGGTGAGGGCTGAGCCTGGACAGGGGACTGGACAGGAGACTGGACAAGGCCGCAGGCCGGGGGAGGGGCAGGCCCTGGTCTTTGGGAGATTTGGCGTTTTCCAGAGGGGTTTTTCTCAGGAATTCTCCCGGCCCGCCCCCGGGGCAGCTCGCTGGGTCTCCCCCGCCCCTTCTGGCAGCGCCGACCGCTGGGAGCTCGGGTTTCCGCCGAGGCCCCCCGCCGCCCGCCAGGCGAACAGGCCTTTCCCGCTTGCAGAGAAAGGGAAAAGCGCGTGCTCCGGGCCGTGCGCCGTCCGCGCTTGACAGGGCGCAAACCACCCGACCGCGCGGCCTGGACGGGGCTCCCGGGACGTGGCCCCCGGTCGCCCACGGGGCGCAGCGTGGAGCAGGCCGCCGGAGCTCTGCCCTTCCCCTCCAAGGGCTGCCAGGAACTTGAGCCCCTCCCTGGAAAGCTAAGCGCCCGATCGCTCCCGCCCACCCGAGAGCAGCTCCCCCTGCTGTGCCCCCTCCGCCGCCTGCCGGGGTTACCCGGCCCCGAGTGTGCGCAGGACGTGGAGACGCGGGAGCCCGTGGAAAGCGGCGTCCTGCTTTCGCGGAATCCGATGATGTGGGATCCCGGATCCGCAGGGCTGACTCTGCCTCCCGGCCACAGCCCGGCCCTGCACGCCGCCTCTCTCCCAGGAAGTCCTCGCAGGAGCCGGGCTCCACTCTGGGAAACCGAGGTCGAGGGCGCGAGGCCTCCGCGAGTTGATCATTAATTCGGGCTCCTCAGAGCGAGCAGCACGAGGGCCGCCTTCGCCTTTGAGAACAGTCCGGAGCCGGGACGGGGGCGTGAGCTACCCAGGGTGGCCACTGGGAAAAGCGGGTTGCAGAGGCTCCCGGGGCAAAGGCTTCCTCGCCCCCAAATAAATTCTTAGTTAACTAGTGCAGACTAAACACATGAACATTATTAGATGAGGGAGTTAGAGGGGGTGGGAAGCGGGCCGTGTCAACTGGACCCAGACCTTGGGATGCGTATCCGGTGACAAACCAGGACGCCTCCAACACGAAAATAGAAATGTAACATTCGACTGCACGAATTAATTTTTGACAGATTTACGGTATGATTTTCTTTCAGGCGGTATTCATGGGTTCTTTCGATCCTTCTTGCGGTCCAAAGACAGAAATATAAACAAGCACTTTCTGCTTTGCGGAAGCCCCTTGACAGTATCTCCCAAAGAAAGCTCAAGACACTTTGTGAATTTTTCCCAGATAATGCCTCATATTCCGAATGACTGATCAGAGAACTCCGGTATTGTTAAATAAAATGAGAGGAAGGCTAGTGACGTGGGAGCCGAACAATAGCATTTCTGAATCTCTTTGCCTGATTGACAATTGGGAGTTTCATGACCCCAGGGAATAGGACTCATTACGGCGACTACACCAAAACATCAACCAAGATTAGAACTCTAGATCCTGTTTTAATCCTATTTCAGCCTAAATTATAGTGGAAAAATGTAAAATCCAAGAGAGAGGCACTACTCCATCATATATTGACCTAAAGTTTTAATTGTAGGAGGGGGAAATGAAAGAGGAAGGCTGATATACTTTTTAACACTTTAGGAATAGCAATGACAGTTAAGCGAAACACAAGGATTTGGTAGGGTAGGTACTGAGAATATTGATGTGGTGTAAAAGATGTGAAGTTTATTTGGGGAGACACCTGACTGGAGAAACATGTAGGGAGGTTTTTTCCTTATATGGGTGAGAAAAATATCACAACTCCTCTCCACTGGTAAAAAAGTGAGGATCATCAACAAATGGATGCTAAGAAATCATTGGCTACTTTGAAGCAAGAGTCTAAATATCTATTATTGTTTGGAAGACTTCCTATTCATTGGGAGAGGAATTTTTTTAATGTCAAAAGTTGTGTTAACATTCAATTTATCCCAGGAAATTGTGGGAGTTGGTCTTAAATCACGCTGGAAAAAGGGAATGTGTTCAGCAGAGTCTTGTTTTACAACAGAAAAGTGTGAGATAATGCAGGCCTTGTGTTAGGTGGGAGTTTAATCTATGGCAACTTCACTGCACAAAAAGTTCTGATTCTTCTTAGAAACTTGGGGGCAGGGGGAGCCTAAGGTATCATGAACTAAATTGAACCAATGGACCACAGAAAGGCAAAGCTAGTAGAAGGTACTAGAGATACAGCTCATTTTCTTAGTAGGTAAATTACAGCAAAGAAAATGGGTAAAGATCAAATTTGTTATAAATAATAAAATAGTTACTGCACAATATAGCTTCCCAATTATTTTGAGGGATAGTTTTTAATGAGAAGTGTCTGTGTAGCATGGGAACTGGGAGCCATAAGAATTATTTTTGCAGCAAGAAGGAAATAAAATTAATTATTAGGAGCTCAGTAATCACCAAATAAACTCTGAGCTTTGAGGTTAAAAATACGCGACTATCTTCATGTTCAATTATATAGTATCAATTACTAATACAACTGATGTTTCAGCGTCTCAGGGAGACCAGATAACATCTTCTATGGAGATATCTTGGTATTAATTAATGACTTCTTTATTCTCATTATTCACAAGGAAAAATAGGGGTCATGTCACATTAAAATTAAGATTATCTTAGTTTATCTGGGCTCTTAAACAAAGATCAAAGTAATTATATTTTGAATTAACAGAGGTAGCATTTTATCTCATTTTTTGGGTTCAAAGACTGGAAAATAAAGATCAGAAATAAGCAAAGTTTCATTTTGAAGATAGGAGGAAGCAAACAAACATGTCTTGACTTTTGCAATATTTCCCTTGCTAAAAGGAGAACGAGGGAACTGTAAAAGACGTGACTTCGCAAAGTCAAGTCCTTTTTAAAAGACTCGGATCGAAATTCTTGCTATGCAACAAGGATTCAAGTTTGATTAATTTTCTGCAAGCGACGTGACAGCGGTGTTTTAAAAGATTAATTAAAATTGAAGTGATACGGAGCAGGATTTCAACCTGCAGGGGCGTCCCTGGCGCCTGGGGGGCAGCGTATCGAGCGAGTCCCAAGCCCGAAGTGCGGGCTTTCCCCAGCCTGGGACGCAATTCCCCGTCTCCCGGAGAGGAACGCGGAATTTGGCAGGGCGCCCGCCCGGCCGCCTGGCATCCCGAGCCGGCCGCCAGCTCTCGGGGGTGGGGACGGGGTGTGTCCTGGAGAACCCGCCGCCCTGTGAACAGCCAGCCGGGGAAGGCCGGGGTCGCGCCCAGTGGCCGGAGGGGCCTCCAGGCAGTCGGGAGCTGGGTCGGACCGGGTCCGAGTCCGCTCTCTGGGGGCGGGGAGGGGGCGCCCACTGGGGACCCGGCTGGTGCGGAGCCCCGGGCACGGCGCGAGCGCGCGCACGAGGGCTCGGCCCGGACTCCCAGCTGGGCCCGGGGCCGCCCCGCACCCCCGCATCCCCGCACCCCCCAGCCCTGCCCCCCGCCGCCCTCCGCGACGCCTTCCTCCGAGTCAGACTCGAGCCGAGCACAACTGCTGCCGCACTCGGGGCGCGAGACCCCGTCGCGGGAGCCCGGGTTCGCGCGCGGTGCCGAGGGCAGGGGGCAGGGGGCGCTCGTCCGTGGTCAGCCTTCCCTGGGGGCGCTAAGGACGCTGTCCCCTTCTCTCCCGTGGAGCTCTGGGTCCCCACGGGGTCCCCCGCCGGTGCCCCTCCTGGGGCGACCCCTGCGCCCCGCCTCGCGGAGAGCCCCGCCTCGGCCGCCGGCCCGGAGAGGCTCCGCGCCTGGAGGCGACGCGGCCTCCCCACCCCCACCCGCTGCCCGGACGCCTCGAGGTGGCGGGGTTCGGGCGCCGCAGGCGGGGGAGCGGCGGCGTCCGGGTGGGAGAGGGGGGCTCGGGGACGCCGCCGCGGGGACGTCCTCCCGGGGCGCCTCCAGCCCGCAGCTCCAGCCCGAAGAACAAAGGGTCTGGGCAGCGCGGCTGGGGTCGGGAGCGGAGACGGAGGCGCCGGGCAGGCAGCGGCGGGCAGGGACGGTGCCCCACGCTTCCTCCGCGGGCGAGAGCTGCGAGCTCCTTCCCCACACGCCTCGCGGAGGCCGCTGCTCAGTCCGGGAGGGCCCGGGTTCCTTACCTAACCGCTGCACTCGCGCCCTTCCTCCCCCAGCGTCCCCACCCCCTCCGGGGCCCGCGGCCCGGGAGCTGCGAGGCCGGCGGCGCGCGGCGGAACCGCGGGGCAGCAGCGCCCCCTGCAGGTGCGGGGCGTCCCCGCGGCCGCCGCGCCTCTTAAGGTAGAACCGGCTTCCTTCCCACCCGCGAGTACAGCTTTCCGCGCGCGCAGCCTGCAGCCCTCGAATGGCCGCCTTCGAGTCTCGCTTGGCCCAGCACGGTCAGAGTCTGCTTGTCCCCTGTGCCATTTCCGGATCCCTTAGCCTCACCACCTTCAGGACCTCGTCAGTGGAGGCCCCGCTAGGCTATCGATCTGGGCTGTCACAATTGATAATTGATCACCCCTGCGGGCACCAGAGGCTGCGTTCGCCCCGCGCTGGGGTGGAAGGACCGGAACTGCGTTTCTGCACCACGAAAGCAGATTTCTCCCTTCGTTTATTAAAATCAGGAGCCGGCAGGAAGGAGTCCCAAGGATCGGCGTGTTGTGGGGTCTCTGGGGCCTGTGTTCTGGGTGAGGCCGGGGGTCCGGGGCCCCGTCCCGCGCAGGTGCGGAGCCGGCGGGGCTCTGGCCTGCGACTGAGCGCCCCGGCCCGGGGACGATTCCCGGATGCGGGGCTGCTTCGGCGACACGAGAACGGGGGATGACCGAGGAGCAGTTTTTCTTCTCTTTTAATATTTCCTCATTAACCCAGTGCACGGCGTGTGCCTGTGGACACGCCTCTCATAAGATGCCCGGGGAGGAACGGGGCGCGCGCCCTTCGCACTTTTCTCCTCGGCGCCCGGGAGCGTGGGTTTTTCCTCCCGCGCCAGGCCCACGCGTGGGCTGCTCAGCTCGAGGAAGCCCTAGGCGGGAGCCGCGGGGTCAGACCCGCCCGGGGCTTGCCAACCGCAGGGGAAAGCCGAGGAGGGCAGGCGCTTTTGCTTTAATCCGTTTTACACTGTGAAAACCGCAGACCTGTCGCCCAGGCGGCCACTTTTTGATTGAGAAGCAAATAGACGAAAAACCAAAACAAACGCGCTAGCAGATTTTCTTTCCTTTTTTTTTTTTTCCTTCTCAAAAAAGCT